CATTCGTGGTATATACAGGCAAGAAGGCGTGGAAGCCGAGGATGAAAGGAGAGGGAGAAGGAATGGAGGGAAAAGCAGATATAGACATATCATCACCGTTGCCTACGGCCGGTAGGACAGACCCAGAATTTATACCAAAGAATGAGTGGAAGCAGACCGAAGTATCGTGGAGGAAAATCAGCACGTCGTAGCTGACGGTCGACCAGGAGAATTCGCCCCGTCCGCTCGATGGCCCAGCCGCCCGTGAGCTACGCCGACTTGCCGGTAATGCTTGATGACGGCACGAGCATGGCCGTGGCGGCGAGGCCTTCGAACAATCCGGAAGCTATAGCGGCACGAAGAACATGACGGCCCCCTCGTCGACCATGCTGTACATGTTGGCGATGTAGCAGGGTAGCAGGGCCGCGCCTGAGATTGATGTGCCCGACGGCGAGGAGGTGCTTGGCAATTTGCGTCTCCACGAAGAGGGAAGAGGGCGAAGAGGACTGGCGCGAGCCCAAAGGAGACGATGGTGATGCGGCTGGACTATCCGAGACCAGGGCCGGAGGCGAGGCCCATCAGGAGTGAGAGGACGGCGAGTGTGAGGGCCACTGGGCCAAAAAAAAGTCGAAGAAGTCGACTCACGGCGACTCCAATCGCCGGGCACAAGATGTGCATCTTGTCGGCCATGGGATGCTTTCTCCTGCGGGTTTCCACGCCGCCATTTCTGCCATTTCTGGGTTGCTGTCATCACCAGGGTACCATCTGCCGGACGAGGCTCGCAAAGGAGGGGTGGGATTTTCTGTAGGAGGAGCAGATGCATCTGCGTCGGAGCTGGAGCTCGGCGTCATGATCAGGATGAGGCAAGGTTCCAAGAGATTGCCGCTCTTGGGCAAATGTAATTTCAAGAGCCATTATCCTGAGCGACGGGTAGGGACGAAGCCAGACAGCGCAATGGTGGGTTGGAAACGTCTTACGCCTGGAGACATGACTCTCTTGAGAGGGGAAGCGTACCACAAGAAAAACAAACGTGAACAGATAGTGAGAATGTCGGCAATCCGTGGGAAACCTCTCGCCCGCATCTCGGTTTTGCAAGCCAGGGGCGTCAATCAGGTACCAGCTGACTGCGTCGTCAACCCAGGGGCGCTTGTAATCAGAGGAAAGGGAAAGGACTGTGATGGCGATACTCCTGCACGAAAGCTAGATAT